ACTATCTACCGCTATTCGGGTCCTTTTTGTCAGACAATACCGTAAGATGCGCGTGTTGCCTTGCATACCGAATACAAACGACATACTTTATCAAATTTATACGTCGCTATCATTTACGCCATGATACCTATAATCTCCCGCGCCTGATTATGATGCGCAAGTACATCCATTGGTGAAGTAGATATCGCCCGCAAACGACAAGAATGGCCGTATCGAATCACGGGAATTATTATGGCAATTTACTAATTAAACTTTAGCTAATTTTAATTCGTGAGAACATTCTTTCATTAAAAGTGAATCGTCTCTCTCTTGTTATAAACGTTATTTTAATACCAGTTAACTTTTATTATTCATGGAAATTATCTTAATTATAAACTTATAATAAAGATATTTCTTATTTAAAGATATATAACATATATCTCTTTATTTATATCGATTTATATCGATTTATATTCATGAATGTAATTTTAAATCTAATTAAATCAGAATTTTATAAAAGAAAAAAGAGAGAAATATATAGAAGTAAATTGTTATAGCCTTGTGCTTTTAAAAAATAATACGTTTCTAAATAAGTTCCTTTGTAGTGTTTTTGAAATATTTAATTAATTGTGTTATCATATACAAGGTGTCAGGGCAATCTCTTCTCCCAAAAAAGCTCTTGTAGTTTACTTCGAGAACTTTTCAAAACACTCTAATAAAGTATTTTTTCATTGAGTATTTTTCGAGTTATAAAGCTTGAAACAATCTCTTAATTTTACATAAACCATAAAATATCATAAGTATTAAGATAAGATAATCGAAAAATGAATATTTTACTAGATAGTTTATGGTTTATGTAAAAATTAAGAAATTATTTCAAGCGTCATAACTTGAAAAGTATAAATAAAAAAATACTTTATTATAGTATTTTAAAAAACTTTCGAGGTAAGCTACAAGAGCTTCTTTTTGGGAAGAGATTGTTCTGACACCCTATATATATGTGTGTGCACAATGTTCATAAATGCATTCCAATTATGATTCATAGATTAGTTTCCAGACTGGTAGAAGTTGTTTAAAGAATAAAATTATTTTATTGTGAGATACATTACTAATTGCTAAACAGCAAGCTTATTCATTTCTAAAAGACTCCATCAATCATCGTAATCAATGATCTCACTCAATCATCGTAAGATAGATTTTCTCACCCCATTTCTGCTTCATCGATGTCATCGAGACCGCGGATATCGTATCTGGTACATCCATCGCGCGTTCCTCTTTACCGGACAGAATCTTTTCTACACATTCCATTTTCTCCATCTTCATCACCGATTCTTGTTCGTCTCTCCAATCATCACCCTCCCTCTTATCGTCCTTCATTTCTATAAAATCTCCTAGATTCGGTAGATCTCGGATATCCGGTACTAAAGTTTCCTCATCATCCTCCCTGATTTTCCATTTCGCCCTCTGTCGATGCTCGTTTTTATTCTCTTCTTCCTGCACTTTTTCGCTCGTAGAATCCAATACCTCTTCGACAAGTTCCTCCTCTTGAAGCATGTATTCTCTGTTCTCGTTAGGATTTTTGTAAATCCTGTAGGGCCCGACGAGGCCCACCACCCCTCGGGGCAGCGCCACCGAGTTCTCCTGATCGGACCAGCGGTTTTCGTACTCGGATCGATCGGAAAACATCCTCGGTGAATCTGATAGAGGCTGTCTGGGTGTGTCGCGGAAGAGCCACTTTCTTACCTCGACTCGCTTGGATACGTCTTCGGGATCCAGCTGTCGCTTCTCGCTGGAAACGGTGTCCTCGATCCGAGTCGAATCGCGACGCGGGTCGACGGGTCGAATCGTCTCCTCGTCAGAGGATGATGTCTCCGGCAGTCGTACTTTCTTCGGTTTTCTCACCACGCTGTAGAGAGTGTTCTCGTCCTCGACCTCGAGAATCGGCGACGTTCTATTCCGAGATGATGGCCAGACGTATGGCGATTTATTTTCCGCGTTGACTTTGCGACTCGGTTCGTTCTTGACTGCGCTGATTATCACAACCCTGCCGTAGACATCCGGAGGGAGACTCTTTGCGCTATCGTCACTGTCTAAGACGCTGTAGATCGGTTCACGCGTCGCCGTCTGAATCCATTTAGGTCGTTTGCGCTGTTTCGAGATGCCACCAGCATGCAGAGATGCTTTTCCACCGACCGTCGTCGTGGAAATGTCAGTTAGCTCGGCCACCATCCTGATGAATTTTTGCCCAACAGCCCCGCGCCGGATGTCACGCACTAACCGATCGTGCTTAATAAATCGAGAATGGAATATTGTATTAAGACCGACGCGATAATCGACGACTTGAGTCGTGTAAATAGCAACGAGTCCAACGATGAATTCTCGGCGAGTACCGAGATAAACGTGCCTTGAAAATGTTAAACGTAAGGAAAGATTAATTTAGAGATTATTACTCACTTGAAATTTATATTAAAAATTGGAGAAAAAAGAGATTAAAATTAATTAATTGTATCTTTTTAAAAAATTGTTCAAATTTGCGATATGGACTACAATATGAAATCAGGAAAATACATTTTTAATTGTAAGAATTATGTTTTAATCTTCATTTTTTTTTCGAATCGTGTCTCTTCAAAACGTATTTTTAGATTCTTGCTGTTGCACTTTGAGAATATCGAAAATTTTTTTACGACGTAAAATTTTGCAGATCATTGCTCATTTTCAATTTGTCCCATCAATTATAAAATTTAATTAATCAGTAATCGTCTCTTAACGGGGAATCTCAGTTTATAAACTTTGTACACTAATTCGCGATCACGTTAATTATTAGGCTCACTTTTTCAAACTTTCAATTTTTTATTTTAATTTAATTTTATATAAAATTTCGAATTTATATAGAGTTTCGAATTCTTGTTTATTCTGTTGACTGTTCAAGTACACTGGTTCGCTCGTAAAAGGTAAATGGCACTCGGTCACTTTAGTTTTAGCCAAGAACAATATCGTGGTATCGTCGCAGTGGTGGCCGGAGGTCATTGAGATGGATGTAGCTCTCGTTCGTGATCAGATTTAGGAAAAAGAAGATTTCACATTCTTTGCGGCGACCTCGTCGATTTAACATTTTCGCTCAATGCGATAAATTCCGATAGACATTGCGAAATTAGAGAAATCCTTAAAAATCTAGATTTGCATAATCATCTCTTAAAGAACAAAATTTTGGCCAATTTTATTACAAAAAAAAAACTCAATATTTTTAAATAATTTTCCTAAAATTTCAAGATAAACCAGCATTTAAATAAAACTTGTATATCGCAAATTTGCTGCAATCTATTACAAAATTTTTCTTATTTATAGTGATGCTTTCAGAAGTATCTTATTAACATATATATCATATTCAACATGTTGTAATTCATTTCCGACAATTATTTTATGATATATGGATAAGTTCCTTGTATGTATTCAGAATGATTGCGCAATTTCCCGATTATTATCTTTTTCTGTTTGCTAACATTTCATGTATGAAAATCAGATAGAATAATTCAAATTGTCCAAATCCAAAGATTTGTACGATTATCGTATATGTTCGAAAAGAAAAGAAAAACATATGATTGAAATCTAAGATCATATAATGATAAATAAATCTATAATAATCATATATAATTATATCATTGAAAAATACACGTCAAAACGTTTCGATTCAAAAAATTTCTTTTTTTACTGTTAATATTATATCAGAATATAAAAAAGGAATATTTGCAGATACATACTACATTTTAGTTTTGCAAATTCTCTCGAAGAGTATCAAATCGATTTAATCTCTACTGATAAACCGAGCGTAAAACGCCGACAAAGATTTAAGATCGACATCATCGCCAGCTGTTGAATACTCTTTCCTAATCGTTTTTCCCCTTCAAGGCATTGCTTTACCCGCATGCAGATAGTAATTGGTCCACAAGATAATCGATCAGCTGTCGTTACCGCGAAATTGCTGATAATGTGTGACCGTTAAACTTCGACCGGTCTAGCTATCCTCTACGCTGTAATTTTTTTCTGACATAAATGCATCGACGACACAGCACGTTGACATTTTTCCACGGGAAAATAGACACGAGGCTCATTTGGCGACGTTTATCGAGGGGGTCGAGGCGTTCACCAGCTGATGATTATCGCGGTTTATCGTGAAATAGCCGTACTTCCGTGCGGGATCATGCAAGATCCGCTACAAGGGCAAATGCACAATCTTACAAGATGCGAAAGAAACTCAAAATACATACATTAAGGTGCTAAATGTGCACGCGCGCATGGAAAATTACAAGTGCCGTGTTGCGTGAAGAATGGCGATTGAAGCATTATGATTAACTTAATAACCGAGCGGTGTTTACGGAGTTATTATACATCTTCGCCTTTACACTCAAATCTATCTCTTAGAATATCTCTTCTATATTGGAATAAATTGTTTCATAAATCTCTTCTATTTTTAATGAAATGATTGTAAATGCTCCCCATAGCTTCTCCTTTAAGATTTTTCTAAAATAAATTCAAAAGTAAATAGAGCTGTAGATTTTTAACATTGCATTTTAATTAAGGACTTAAAGTTCGAACTACTTAACTGCAAAAATGTTTTTCTAATGTTTGAGAAGACAGCTACAATAATTTGAGAAATGCATTTTTATTTGAAAGATTTCTTGTCGGAAGGAAGAAAAGAAAACGAGAAAATTTAAATTCTTTTAAAAGAAGAGGCAAAAAAAAGTTAAAAGCCAAATATCAAATTCTTTCTTTTTCTGACAAATTCATAATTTTATTATATTCATCTAATATGAAATTTAGATCTCTAATTAAATAATATAATCAATTGAAAATATGAATTTGGCTTGGAAGTATAAAATTGTTTCAAGATCAAAACTTGCACAAATAACGCGTTCGAGTACAAGATATTTGTGAATTGGCAAACGTTCTTATAATGAGGAAAATGAGAGGAAGATAATGAATATATTTGCTCGCAAACGACGCATTAGAAGAAGAGGAGGAGGGATCGTCACAACATCAGTCCACGTCAGAGTCTACCACTGCTCTCTTCGTTAATTTTAGTATACGTTCCACTACCGTCTAGCTCACAAAGACGATAGTTTGCTCACGAGATAATGAGATCGGGCCAAGAACATCGAATGTCACAACATTGAAGAGGCAACCCGCATGCTAAGATAATATCAGCTGACAGCTGACACTTCAAGATTTTATCTCGTGCATCAGCAGTTCGATGATGACGCGAATCTATCTTCTTGTAGCTCTAGTCTTCTATTGCGTTTCGAATTCTGCACTAAGCGAGCCGTAAGTACGATATTTGTATCAAGCAAAAAAATTTTCTATCAATAGATTACGTAAAATATTAAAAATTGAAATTTATGGAAAAGTAGTAGCCTTTGCAACACTTGTATGTACGTTTTACATTAGATATTTGCATCTGATATTATAATAGATTTTGCCGAAAAAAATAAAACCTTATTTAAAGGTATATTAGAAATATTTAAAAATATAAAGAAATCTCGAGAATTATGAAAAAGGAGACTTCAATGTCTCATCTCTGTTGAAATCATCAATTTTCTCAATCTGATCAGAACTCCCTTCTTTGCGAAACATCTTGACCTATTCCGTAGTCCGCGATTTCACGTTAACGCGGGAGAAATCTAGATGATGCAAAATTCTCTCCGATATCTTCTTGCTCCGAAGAGAGGAAGTCTCTCTTGCCTCATAACGGTTTTTTGCGAAACTCGGCCGCAATCGTTCGCGCATCTATCAGATCTTTACAGACGCGAGCTTCTCTCCGTAGAACGACTTGGCTGATGCAGGGCGACACATTCACCGACGAGGAGGCGACGTCCAGGCTCATCCAGCTGGACAGCCACAAGTCGTATTTTCCGGTGAGCACCAGAGCGGAAATATACTACGCGGCACAACCGGGCAAGCTCATCAGCTGCGTGATCGCCGCGTCCGTTCATCAGAACGGTCATGTGAGCGTCGTGGAGGGTGGCTACGGAACCAAGAAGGTCCGGATACGTTACATGACGGAGAACGGCAGGCCGGATGTCTTCTTCGTCCTCGTGCAAGCCGCGAAGAGAGAGTCGGTACACGTCGAAGAGGACGTCGCGTGGAGTACGAGATTGGGCATCGCCTACGAACCCATGAAGAACTGGACTCTTGCAGAAATACAAGATGCTTTGCGCAATGTCTCTTCTTCTCAGTTTCCTCCTTCGTAACATGTCGATTTGTATCTTTTTTTTTATAGAATAATAATTTTATGTTTTCTTTATAGAATAATCATTGTAAAAATAGCCGAAGAAAATTTAATTTTGCAAATTTAATAAATAAATTCAGTATCCTAATTCTTAAAATGCGGGCTTAAATACAAAAATGAATCGAAAATTTGCGAAAGAATTCTTTGAAATTTTAAGAAAATACCTTGGATATTTTCTTAAAATTTCAAAGAATTCTTCCGCAAATTTTCGATTCATTTTTGTATTTAAGCCCGCATTTTAAGAATTAGGATACTGAATTTATTTATTAAATTTGCAAAATTAAATTTTCTTCGGCTTTTCTTAATTAAAGAAACACCAAATAATTTTTCGCAATTATCTGTTAAAAATATTCTGTCAAAAATATTCTCAAGTAACATATAAAAGTTTAGTTTATATAAATAATTAATATGTCATTCAAGTGTTTCTACGAGATCTTTTAGATGGATTAGCTTAAGGAGCTTCTTAAACATCGGCGGTTCAAACAGTTAAATCTTCTCGTATAATTATTGCCAACGAGATACTCATTTGTAATGGATAGCATATCATCTTGTCTCCTTATATTTCTAGCAGAACCATGTAATTGCGCACGTCTTTCTAATGTAATTACGCACAGGGTAAGATATGCATTTTAAACACAAAATAAGACATCTAAGCGTGATTTTAAGATGTATGTTTAATGTAAAATAATAGTTTATGAGCAAAAATCCCTCTTTTAGAAGTCTCCTGCATATATAGAAAGAAAGACTCTATTTCACTTTATTTTCTCTAACAAATGAAATATAATATAAATGTAATTAATGTATTAATATAAATAATGATATAATTTAATAATATAATTTATATACTAATAATTTTTATCTCTGTATAAACTTCTCTATCCAGTCATATGTTTTCAGAATAAATAAAAGGTGAGTTTGTCATATATATTAGCAATGTTATTTTTTAATATGTAAGCATAGAAAAGTCTGTCATGCTTTGACACGTGGTAACGGATAATTGACGCAAATGGATCATCCATTCAATCTTTCGAACAGCCGTTTATTTTCACATTCCATCTGTTATGACAGCAGTACTTCATGGAATGCGAATTCGTATGTCTAGCGGATTTTAATTGTGAAAGTAGATCACAATTCGTAACTAATAGCTACCAGAAAATGTTACATTTTGCTGAGCAAAGATTGAATGATTAATCGCTTCATATCGTGAACATACAGTCTCTCGGAATATTGCTTCATTTAATTATTGTACCAACGTTTGCCACGCTACGCTGTGACATTAATTATTTATATATATGAAAGCGATGAAAAAAAGCAATGTCATCTAGAAATATTTGGTACTTCGATTGAAGCTTAAACATATGGTCAATATAAAAAAAATGTGAAATTGCGGTCACAGTAATACTTTGTAGATTCAATTAATTTACGGTAAAATAATTCTAATAATTTTTAATAAACAAAATGTGAGAGAGAAACAGAGAGAGAGGAATAAATAATAATATAATCTATATATCTATCTCTCCTTATAATATAATAAATTATATAATTACATTTTTATTACTCTGTTATGTGTCATATGATCATACAATCTCATAATTAATTTTTTCTATTGTGTGTGTTAATCTCATATAAAATTTAATTTTATCTAACAGCTTCTGACGATTTATAATTTATTCTCTTTAAAATTAACAAATAAGAGATCCAATTTTCTCTCTTTCTCTCTCTCTCTTTCTTTCTTTAATTTAAATAATTAATTCCTAAAATTTCCATACTGATTTATACGAAATTACATCGACAGAAGTCGGTCTATCAATCAGAAGATGGGTTTATAACTTGATTAAGCTTCATCTGTATCAAATTATGCGTATGCAAATTTCAATTTGTACTTTTCCTCGACGATTCACGCGGATCTTCGTCGAATGTGGGTGTCGTGAAGCGGAAATTTCTATCGACCGATTTGTTTCATTTCGGATCCACTTAAGCGATCCATTCGATCACGCACGAGCGATCGCGGACTGTTTCGAAAACAAGAGTTAGAAACAAGAGCTGTGGGCAGACTCCGTATAACGGACAACAACACGGTGCGTGTCCGATCCTTTTCACTTCCGTGGAAAAGAAAAGGGAAAGCGGCTTTTGTATTTTAAAATAAGAAAATATATCACAAAATTTTAATGTAATACGTTTGAAAAATGGAAGAAATATATCAGAGAGAGATATTTTAAATGTTGAGACATATTCCTCAAAGAAAAAAAATTTGAATTTTTTTTAAATTTATAATCTACATTTTCTATTAATCTATATTTTCGAGATCAAAACTTCATCTTTATTATAATATCTATTTTATTAATAGATAAGTCTAATTTTTTTGTATCTTGAGAAAAAATTAATATATTTTTAATAAATTTATAAGATTTAATAATTCAATTTCTCTTTTTTATTAATAGATAATGTTTCATAAATAGACGTAATTTAATTTATTAATAATCACATTTTTTTAAATTTCCTAATAAGATATTATAATTAATTCTTTTCGAATGTGTTGCTCGGGCAGGTACTTTCTAACGGATTAATTGAGAGGATCATTGAAATCGTCATTGAAAAGTGAATGAGATCTTACCTGATGATTTGCCGGGATTGGATTCCTCGATCGGCTGTAGAGTTCGCGACATCGTTGTCTCTCGAGAGTAACGTTTCGCTCTTCAATTTGAAACGGATACCGCGCTACGGTAATCGAGACGCTCGTAAAATCACCGCCGATGTCCATCAATCCGATGAGTTCCGTGTCAAGACCGATGGATTCGCCTTAGCTGTCTGTTGCATTTTCCGCGAACGTACATTAGTCGGCACTGTTAATTGATTATAATTAGAAGAATAAATGAGAGTCGTTGCAGTACAATAGTAAAATCCAGATAGAAAGAAGAGCGTTTTATCGGTAGATTCTTCTTCAGGATTGCTTATTCGAGATTTCTTTTCACGAAATAATTGCAATGATGATTGTAATTAATAGAAATTTTCCAATTAAAATATTTGCACAGGAAAATGTCGAGAATATTAATTTCTTCCTCGTATGATGAATGAAAATTTGTCTTTTAATTATTTTTATTACGAAGAGTAAAAATGTAAATTTTTATTTGAAATATTTCCTTCCTTTTTATGAGCAATATTTTCGAAAAGTTGACTCGTTCTTCTGCTGAATAATTCAATTTTTGTTTCTCATTTCAAACAGATGATGTTTTATTCACGAATTATCCCGTCCACAGTCATAATTCTTGATATACAAAGGCGTTCTTTAATGACACATTTAATTTTTTGTACAGATAGAAAACATCCTCCAACAATAAATTTGCTCTTTCTCCCAAAAATTGTCAACTCTTCTCAGGACATATTTATCTTTAATATGTTTAAGTAAACGATATATTACTCGTTAACAATCATTGCAAAGATCCTCTCATGCAACAAATTCTTTTCTCTTCTTCGATCTGAATATCTTTTCTCTTGGAAAACAGCACTCGCGTTCTATTTCCCCCAAAAAAAGTAAATAAGAAAAAGAATGAAATTTTGTCACTGAATTTGTTTCGTCTCTTCTGAAAATATTCCTTCGTATCCGAATCGTGTTCGATTTATAGGAAAGGATTTTCGGCTATCGGAGCCGAAAACGCACGGGGTGTAGACGACACCCCGGTGGCACGTGCGACGACTTGCGCATCCACGTCACGTGCGAGCGACTGAAACACAGTGCGCGCTGAATCGAAGCGCACGCGACTCCGATACGCGCGACTTCCACGGACTTTCGAATGGCTGACGGCTGTGCTGGCTGTTACTGCTGCAAGAGAGCACGTCGCATGAGCTACGTCGAGATATACGTCGATACCGGCACTGCTCTAGCCGTTGCTCCGGCCCCGGAGTCTGGCCCCCAGAACGCGGGCCCCGCGCTGTAGGAGGAGGTTCCTCTTGATCCTTCGCGAGGTGGGAGAGAAAATCTCGCGCATATCAGTTCTTATCCCTTCTTCATCGTTTGAATCTCTTGAGAGAAAAAAGAAAGAAGAAATCCGCGGAAGAGAAAGAACAGAGAATTTTACATTTCATTCTGTTGAATTTAGATTCGCGTAGATATGTTTCGTGTAAGACTAATGGCATCGCAATACGTATATTATAATTTTCATTATAATTACAATTAATACAATCTTAACTTTTATATCGAGGATTTATGCTGTTAACAGAAGTATAATATGTGAAAAAAACAATTTGATTATATGACTAAATTGATAGAAACTCTCAATTGTATCCTTTTTTTGTTGTTTCTATACAATTATATTATTGAAATTCAAAATTAAAATACGAATATGTATAAACTAGAAGAAAGCATGCTGCAGTATTAATAGGATTGAAATAGGAGAATAGGATATGCAAGTTGCAGAAAATAAATTAATAATAAATCTTAAATAAAATAAAGCTTGACATATTTTTCTTAAAAAAATTTTTTTAAATGACGAGATTCAGGCTAATACAAATCTTCAAATACTGTATACAATAATATTACATTCTCGATAATTGTAAAGTATATTCTCCATATGAAATTGGAGTTTTTCAACTATTGTTCATAAGCCAATAATCAATTTTTGACTAAAAAAGAATCTAAAAATTGAAATTAGCTAAAACTATTTATTATGAAGATTACAAATTTGCCAATTATTGAAAATATATTAAATATCGCACAAATACCGATACTTGAAAAGAATTGTATTGTTTCAAATACTATTTCTGTCTATTTTACTTAACTTTTCATAAATTTTATTTCTACAAGATGACATACACATTCTCCTTTGGACAATGATGCACAAGATTTTGTATTCTTGCAATAAAAGAGATATAGTTCAGCAGAGATATAGTCATTTCGAGAATGTACTTAAATTATTCACATCATAAATTTGTGCCCAAATAATCTTAATTAATTTTAATTAATCTTAAATTACAGTTTAAGCTCATTTGATTTGTTACATTTACATTGGTCGGATTTATAATTGATAGCTGTTTCTCTCGTCTCGAATAAACACGAAACTCTAGAACAAATAAAAAAAATACATCACAAACTCACATTTATGGATTGCATCCTTAAATTCCAATGACGGGAATTAAGACTGTGTGTTATTTTTCCAAATCCTCAAATCATACCAGCAACATTCTTTCTCAAAAAACCAACAACCTCTTTCTCAAAAGTAGTAAACTGTTTAGGCGGAGAGTTTATCATTTCTTTTTTGAACCAAAACCAGAGAATCCCATAATTGCGGCCATTTCATCAGAAGGTCCAGCATCATCCTCTGCCAGCTCTTCAATTTTCCTTTTTTTGTCTTTTCGCTTCTCTTTCCTGTATTCTTTGATTTTTTCTTCCTGTGGATAATAGAAATATTATTAACATAATAAATGAGGTAATTACCTTAAACACGATTTTGTGTAGAAACAAACCTCTTCTTTTAATTCCTTCACTCTCTGTTCCAAATCATAATCTTTCTTTTTCTCTTCAAGCTTCTTTTTATTTTGTGCAAATCTAGCTTTAACCTGTTCCAATGTGGATCGCTCTATCTTCATGGACATACCCAGATTCCGTTGATCTGTAGAAATTAAAAATTATAAAGTTGAATTAAAAGTTCTAAATTTTAATTCTATATCATTAATTTATAGATATTTTAACTTACGTTTTGTACCATTGATATGATCCAAGAAATTAATGGAATCTTTGACAACACAATCGCAGACATTACAATAGTATCTAGAACAAATACAATAATGGTTATAGTAATGTTTCATTCATTGAGAATCATTATCAATAATTGAGAATAACTTTATAAAAAGAGAATAGTATTTTGCATATTTATTTATTTATTTTAATGTATTCAACTGTGTAATTAAATCTTTGTAAGATATTGAAAAATTGAATTATACCCTCCAGTTTGTGACGATGGTGTATTTTTATTGATGACGACACTTTTTCCTAGTTTTGATTCAAGGTCAACTTTGTAATCTCTCTGTTTTAGCAATTCTCTTTTAACTGCTGGTTGTTTGGGAAGTCCTAATTCTTCCTCCGCGATCTCTTCTTGGAGTCTTTGAAGCGCAATCCTTTCATATTCTTCCCGGTTCCATTTCCTCCGGTGATCATCAGGTCGCTATAAAAAAAATATGTTTTATTAGTAAAATAGATAGAGATAGAGATAAAAAGATGTATTTCTTTTAATAGTATAATTATTTAGATCATTTTGCAAAGTTATACTATTTCTACCATTTGTAATATCTAATAAAATATCTTTACAACTCAGGGTCATAAAATTTAATTAAATATTAATAATAATGGAGATTAGAACTAATTACACACAATATCAATTATTTAATGATTCATTTACACAAATTAAAACTAATTTGTGTAAATGGAATCATTAAATAATTGATATTTAATGTCATCTGCGATTATCACAACAAATTTCAAAAATGTATATAATTACCATAGACATGATCGCAATATCTTTCTTTCCACAATCATAAATTATTTATTCTCACAAAATTCGTAAATATTATGGCTCTCGTTCCTTTCTGTTTTCTATTCTCACTGTTCGTTGCTCGTGCTTTCAACCCTTTCAACTTTCATGTTATATTTCATAGTCATTGACTATCAATGTACTTAGATGTGCGTGTGAAAATCAAGTGACATTTGATGGGGAATTCCATTGAACCAATTTGCAAATGACCACTCGACTGGTATCTAAGTAACCAGCAATGATTGACCAATCAGAAAGACTCATTTTAAATTGACCAATTGGCGACGTGGACAATTAAATTCCATGTAAATAAGAGATAACGTAGATTTTCGCAATTTATCTAACAATAAGTATTATCATATACATTATGTATTTATGAATAGATAAATAATTACATCTTTAAAAATATCTTTTTATATTCTTATACTATTATTGCAATATGTAATTAAATATATATGCCATGTCTACGCAGAGTGGTGATATTTTTAAAGCGGCCTTTTCATTGACGCTACTTTTTAGCGTCAATGAAATTACACCTTAACAGTTGGCAGCCCTACGAGATAGGCTGTGCAGCACTGCGCGTATATAAAATAAATTTGAAATCGCTTCTAGCCTAACCATCTTCACGCGATCGACTTTATTTGAATTGCACGGCATCGCATCGAATTATGATGCGGCGCCGATTTGTTCGAACGTAATTCGGGACATCGCGATGCTGTATAAGCGTCGAATGAGCACGAATTGTCACGCAAATATGATAAATCACATCTACTCACCGTTCACCGGCTGTTCCACAGACCGCTCCACTCGCTCGCCTCGGGACGTCCCATTCCGATCTTGATGCACACGATATCATCAACGCGAACGCGCGACACTTTATTCGGCACTCCCGATATTCGCTCGTATCCGATAATCATCATCAAGGGCGCAAATAACACGACGCGACTTCGCTCCATCTTCGCGATCGCGCTATCACTGAACTGTGAAAAATAGCTGTCGCGCACTTTCACCGACATATTATGAAAGTCGCGCGATCATCCTTGGACACTTTCGATGCTCTTTCACTCGCGATATTCGTTTAAAAACGGTTAAAAGACGCGAAAAATGCGGACGTACGACGATCCGCGTAACTGCGTATGACTCCGATTCACGTATGACGCGTATGACGTAGTAGCACGCGCTAACATGGCGGCCGAACCAGTGCGCATTCATTTCTGCGCACTGGTTCGGCCGCCATGTTAGCGCGTGATCGCTACGTCATACGCGTCACTGCTACGTCATACGCGTCATACGTGAATCGGAGTCATACGCAGTTACACGGATCGTCGTACGTCCGCATTTTTCGCGTCTTTTAACCGTTTTTAAACGAATATCGCGAGTGAAAGAGCGTCGAAAGTGTCCAAGGATGATCGCGCGACTTTCATAATATGTCGGTGAAAGTGCACGACAGCTATTTTTCACAGTTCAGTGATAGCGCGATCGCGAAGATGGAGCGAAGTCGCGTCGCGTTATTTGCGCCCTTGATGATGATTATCGGATGCGAGCGAATATCGGGAGTGTCGAATAAAGTGTCGCGCGTTCGCGTTGATGATATCGTGTGCATCAAGATCGGAATTGGACGTCCCGAGGCGAGCGAGTGGAGCGGCCTGTGGAACAGCCGGTGAACGGTGAGTAGATTTATCATATTTGCGTGACAATTCGTGCTCATTCGACGCTTATACAGCATCGCGATGTCCCGAATTACGTTCGAACAAATCGGCGCCGCATCATAATTCGATGCGATGCCGTGCAATTCAAATAAAGTCGATCGCGTGAAGATGGTTAGGCTAGAAGCGATTTCAAATTTATTTTATATACGCGCAGTGCTGCACAGCCTATCTCGTAGGGCTGCCAACTGTTAAGGTGCAATTTCATTGACGCTAAAAAGTAGCGTCAATGAAAAGGCCGCTTTACACACTGAAAAAGTTGAAGCTGTTTGAACTTTATTTTATTGACGCCATATCTAGAGAAAGTCTAGTGATTTTAATTTGCCGCTGGTTTCTAGCGTCAATGAAATTGCACCTTAAGGCTTTTCTCATAGCATTTCATAAAATAGATGGTATATATGTGATTGGTTCATTCTTTCAAATCCAATGAATGAGTTTAGATAACCATTCAAGATATATTATTGTTATCTTTAGTTATCTCAAGTTATCTCTTTAATTTATTGTACATACATACACATTAATATGAAGTTAGCATGTGACCTATCGTAGTAAAAATATGAAATTTATTCCGTTATATTTTGTCACTTAAATTTAATTAGGTCTAAATAGAAAATAACGAGGAAGGCCAATCGAGGCCAATCAAAAATGATATCGATAAGAAAATAACTAGGCATTCTTGAGAAGCACGAATATTCAACGTGTCAGGTCAACGTGTACAAAAATTTCACAAATGGTGCGCATCCCCTTAGCAAATGTCAATTGGGTTTTTTTATCTGACGCTTTATTTCCTTTCCTAGAGCTTCGGATGTAAGCGTTCTTTCATTTTTTAACTTGTTTATCAAGAATTGTTTTGGCTGATTGTCAAAAAAAAATATTAATATGTCAAAATAAACAATATATATTGAAAAATAATTTTTTCTCTTAATAATTTTTATTTTAATTATTTCTTCACACTAATGTATATGATGTTTTGAAAATGACATCCTGTAAGTGAACTTTATGGAGGATTAACTATTTGTTATCGCATTGCTATACTTCTATAAACATATTTGTGTACGATGTATTTAATTCTTTCATTATACTAATTTATATTATCAATTAGTTTTATCTCTTGAGGACAAACAGTAAAATAATATTTCATTTACAGACAAATGATACTTTTTTGCTTTTTATTTATGATAGAATAAAATTGATTATTTATGATTTCAAGACACTCAAATACTTCTTTCGAAAAACTCACATTTATTTCTTATATTTTTTCTTTTAGTAAAAAATGTAGTGGAAAAATATCTGTGTTACTTCATCAGAATTAAAATTAATCTATCATCAACATGAATAAGACTTCGAAAAGTAAGTATATCATTTATATATAGAAAAGATAGATAATTCTGATATAAGTAGGAATATCTCAAATATTTGTGTTATAGAAACTGGACAAACATTGAAGTATGTGAGTTTAATTACTCTCACGCTTCAAAATGCTATGGTTGGCCTCAGCATGCGATATTCGCGTACTAGAATAGGAGATATGTTTCTATCTTCCACTGGTAAATATCTATAATAGAATTAATTTTATACAATAGAATTATCCTTCTTTCTGTCTATAAATAAAAAATTCTTACTATATTTGGAATAATATTTCTTTTTTTTTAGCTGTTGTGATGGCAGAAGTAGTTAAATTATTTACTTGTCTAATACTCGTATACATCGAAGAAGGAAGCTTTGAGAAATTTTACAAAGCATTACATATGACAATCGTGAAACAGCCTATTGATACTTTGAAAGTTTGTGTGCCATCTCTCTTGTATATTATACAAAACAATTTACTTTATGTGTCTGCATCTAATCTGGATGCAGCTACGTATCAGGTAGGGTATATGTTTAAACTAAAACATTTCTATAAAAAAAATTCTATATAAATAATAAAATATTTAAAATGAATAACATTTTACAGGTTACATATCAATTAAAAATTTTAACAACAGCTTTCTTCGCAATAGCGATATTACGTAAAACTCTACGTATCACCCAGTGGAGTGCTCTGGTGTTATTAGTTATTGGAGTAGTTCTTGTACAACTGGCTCAAAGCGTAAAAACGCCTTTACTCTCGGGCATCGAACAAAATCACTGGCTAGGTTTCTCCGCTGCTCTGAGCGCGTGTTTCCTATCTGGCTTCGCGGGAATCTACTTCGAGAAAATTCTCAAAGGCTCTGACATCTCTGTGTGGATGCGAAATGTACAGTTAAGCGTGCTATCTATACCGTTTGGCTTGGGCACATGTTTTCTACAGGATGGTGATGTCATATACAAACAGGGTTTCTTCTTTGGTTACGATTTGTTTATCTTTTACCTGGTTATCTTGCAAGCGGGCGGTGGATTGATTGTAGCCATGGTAGTTAAATATGCTGACAACATATTGAAGGGCTTTGCTACATCATTAGCCATTATCATTTCTTGCATAGCTTCCATTTATCTGTTCAACTTTCAACTATCACTTCAATTCACTTTAGGTGCATTTCTCGTAATATGCTCGATTTTCCTTTATGGTCACCAGCCGAAAATTGTATCTCTCGATAAACATACATCTGCTGAAAAAGTCTGACAGTAGTGAAAATACTGGATATCTCAGTATAATATGAATAATTGATTTTACAAATTTTCACAAGATTTTATAAATTTTCTCATTATTTAACATTAATTTGTGGGATATAGAGAATTCTAATGATTTAGTGAAAAATAGAATCAATTTAAAAGAAGAATCAGTTTAAAGAACTAGTGTTGATAAATAAAAATCAATGAAAAAGATAAAAGATTTGACAAATATTCACATTGTTATATTGATACTATGTGTATCGAGAAAAATCAGTATCAATATCTTTGGTAATATTTTCTATTGTAAAACACAATGATATAATTGATACAATGTATATATGAAAAAAAATCAATTAGTGCAATCATATTTTATATTTGATTCCAGTATTTATCTCTCTTGTGACAGAATGGAGATTTTACACAAACGATGATATAGAGAAAAGTGAGATTATATTTGTAATAAATTCGAATTATTGTAGATACAGAACATTGACACTATTAACTATTCATTCATGATGATGATGATTTTATTTTTTTATAGCGATAGTTTTAAATACATTCGTATACATTTGATTAGAATATATTATTAAATCAGTAAAATATATTTATACTTATATGTACTTAAGTAGATTTTAATAAATGCAATTTTTATGAGGATTTTTCTTTAAGATTTCAAGTTAGCAATTTTTAGAATACAACGAGACAATATTAAACAAAAATTTATTTTGAATCTTGCACATAATATTCAATTGATATAATGATAAATTGAATAATTATGAAGTAAACAAAAATGTATTTTTGGAATGCAATGCTTCAATGGAACAAGAAATATCTAAATGTATTTAAAATAAAATCAAGTTATGAGAGGGACTTCGTGTTAGGTTCAAAATGTAATTATATATATATATTTTTATTCATATTGGAAATTGACTCAAATTTTTACTTAAACTGATATGTTTAATTTGTAAACCTAGTTATGTATTAACGTGAAGAATGCAATTATAGATATTTTTTATTCTCATTTATTTATATAAATCAATTATCTTAATTGTAGTCGATTAATCGATTATGGTTTTATATCCGTTTCAAGAGTCATATCGCGGCCATCGAAAATTCGCGCCATATCACGTGCTCATAAATTTTGACTTTACTACAGCTGACAGTTGGCGAGCCTGAACGTCGAAATACACGCATTCGGGCGAGAGTGAGACGCGAAATTTTTCGTGTTCCTGCATAAATACATACGACGATTATGAGCGAGTCCCAGTCGAAGAAAACGAGGATCATGAGTTCGTTGAGTCAATTGAAGGACCTGACCACGGTGGTCGCCGACACCGGCGATTTTCATGGTAAGATCACGTCGAAATTCGAATTCGTTCAAAGGTGAAGGTAGGTTATTTATGTGATGCTTATGCGATTTAAAGGGGCAAGGAGGGAGGGAAATACTTGCAACGCTTGCACTCCCCCCCCGAATGTGTCTCACGTGATAATTCTTCGAATGATACGTGATTATGAAATTTATTTTGTGATCGAAATTGTCTCAACGAGAAAGATATGTCGAAATCTATTTGTTTTCGTGTGTATTCCGATATCGCTCGTCCGATATCGACGGTGAACAAAAAGCTATTAAAAAGCGTGAACGAATAATAATATGTATCGGATTATAAATTTTAATTGGAGATACGCTTTCTTGAAGAAACTAATCAATTCAAATATAATTTGATGACTAAACGAGATTTGTTACGCAAATAAATTAATAAATACTTTTGCCTACAAAATATTTAAAAAAAAATTCGTATATCGTTTATCCATAATCATAACAAGCTGTCGGTATATTATATGTATATATTATATACTTATTTTATTATATATTCTTATAATACATAATATAATCCTTTGAAATTTTCTGCTTTCTTTATAAAAAATAATTATTTTTATATTAATACTATCGTTAATTTTTACAATTAAAATCCTTTTCACGATTTTCATGATTTTATGAAAAACGTGTTAATATATGAATGAATTTTGAAATCACACGCGTACATCAATGACCTTGTATAAAAGCTTTTTTCTTGCAACTAAGTTTATGCCTTATAATGAATAATGCGTGTTTCATTATGTTGATCGCACTAACGTTACTCGTCTGATTCACCTGGACGCGTGAGCTTAATTTACTCGTGTTCCCGTCAATTTAGAATTGTTATTTAGACTTTATGAAGGTTTATATGAGGGATCATGGTCAAAAATCGAATGATGTCGCATAGATTTATCTGTGCGACTGATAAAACGCGTATCAATACATAAACGAAATATTGTGACCTTTGCTGAGAAACGACCTTTCATAGTATATTCATTATTCTTATCACTAATAGAAATTAAATGGAAATGGATAAGCTATTAAATGAATAAGTGATAATGAATAAAGATAAATATGGATAATAATACAAGAATAATGAAGAAAAAGTAATTATAAATATAATAAATAACAAATAATAGTACATAGATTAACATTGCAGAAACAATATTATATTATTATAAATAGTATTATATTATTCGCTGTAGCTATGGAGCAATTTAAGCCTACAGATGCAACGACAAATCCATCATTGATTCTTGCTGCTGCTAATCAAAAGAAATATGCTCATTTAATTGAAAAGGCTGCTGAATATGGCAAAAAGTCTGGATCGTAAGTATACATATTTATTATGTGACAAATTCATTTAAATTTCTTAGTTCTTTCATATTATGTCGTTAAAAATTATATTTAAATAGTTTTAACATTAATTTATGATATTAAATAGTTATTATTTAAATAGTTTTAACATTAATTTATAATTTATGATATTTAAATAGTCTCAACATTAATTTATAATTTATGATATTTTAACATTATTTAACATAGAGATTTTTTGCAGTACTTTGGCTGAGCAAGTTGAAGCAGCTCTTGATGTCACATGTGTTTTATTTGGCAAGGAAATCTTAAGTATAATACCCGGGAGAGTTTCAACAGAAGTAGACGCTAGATTATCTTTCAATAAAGAAGCCAGCATTGAGAAGGCGAAAAGATTGATTGCTCTGTACGAGGGACTTGGAGTGAGCAAGGAACGCGTCTTGATCAAGCTTGCGTCAACTTGGGAAGGCATTCAAGCTGCAAAGTAAGCAAGAAACAAAATTAAAAGATATACACATTTTATGTTTAATTAATAAATGTTCTAGTAATAAATAATAATTTTTTTTTAGAGAATTGGAAGAAAAATATGGGATCCATTGCAATTTGACATTATTGTTTTCTTTTGCACAAGCTGTCGCTTGCGCAGAGGCTGGAGTCACTCTCATTTCACCATTTGTTGGTAGAATTCTGGATTGGTAAATGTTTCAATCTCATATATCAGTTTATATATTGATACAAATGGAAAGTAAAACTAAACATTTTTATTTAGGTATGTGGCGAATACAGATAAAAAGACATATGAAGCAAAGGAAGATCCAGGTGTTATTTCTGTAACGAAAATTTATAATTATTATAAGAAATTCGGTTACAAGACAGTTGTGATGGGTGCTTCATTTAGAAACGCTGGCAAGTATTTAAATCTATGTAATTTTTTTATATACATAAATTATTTTTTTATATTCTTTTGTATATGTATGTGTGCAAGCGGGCGCATTATATATATATATATATATATATATATATATATATATATATATATATTACACACAGATATAATATAAAATATGTACAATAATACTGTTATTTTTAAGTAATTTTTTAAATTTAACCATCTTGATATTTAGGTGAGATTAAAGAACTCGCGGGCTGTGATTTTCTTACTATAAGTCCCAAATTATTGGAAGAATTAGAGGAAAGTAAAGATCCTATTCGCAAAGTTTTGAACGTGGAATCAGCGAAAAAATGTGATCTTCAAAAGATTAGCTTAGATGAGGCTGAATTTAGATGGCTCCTGAACGAAGATCAAATGGCGACCGACAAATTAAGCGAAGGCATTCGCAAATTTGCCGCTGACGTGCGCAAACTCGAAAAATTATTGCAAGAAACAATTCAGAGTTAAAACAATGAAGAATAACAGAAAGTAAACTTAACTGTACAACAATATAATAATGTGGGCATAATCGAATGTACAAATACATTCCTATTGTTTATATTTGTAAAATAATTAGTTTATATACTTGAGTACAAAAAAGTGGAAAAAAGGAATAAGGTGGAATAAATGAGATATATATTTTTAGAAATATATTATGGACTATATAGATGTATGTAAACTTTTAAAAAAATATATTTATAACGTCTAAAATTTATCACTTGTTATTTTTCTCTACACATAATTGTATAATATTTTTGTTGTTTATCAATTTTAAAAAGTGTATTCATTGATGTATTATTTCTGTATGATTTCTATATGATATCTATATGATTAAATATTAACAGGTAATTCTATGATTATTTACGTAATTGAAAATAATATTTGAAATTCGTCGTTTGTTCTTGACACGCTGTGCGCGCATGTAATCATGCGCATGCGCGGCCGCCATGTTTATTTATGTTGCGTCGTTTATAATTCGTAGTATCTGAAATCCGTGTGTGAATTGTTCGCATTTTTATTCGGGAAAAACAAATTGTACGTGTTAATAATTGTCGGAAATATCGAGAGTGATGATATAACTTGTTAATCAGTAACTAATTTATAGTGATATTATCCTCCTTTCGTTATTAGGACGAGAATACTTGATGTGATCCGATGGAGTTAACCTGCGCAGTTTCCATCACAAATTGGCGCGAATGGAGGAGTTTGAAAAGATCACGACATCGAGGTAGCTCGTGAGTAAAATCATTTATCTTTCCTCTGAAAATTGCGAAAACGATATATATTCGATGAGTTGAAAGTATAAGCAAAAGAGTCATCGTTGTGTTAATTTGATATAAAGTTTTTTGTTTATTCTGCATAAAAATGTACATTCTCTATAATATTTGTGTAAAACACAATATAGAATGCGTGGTTGTAATTATATGAATTTTTCAATCTCCGATTTAACATTATATACATACGTGATGTGTATGATTTTTACGAGCAATTGTTGTTTGTTTATCTACGATGATTTAGTATTACTTTGTTTACATGCGTGCAACCATCAGAGTCCTTTCTTTGAATTTTACTTTGTTACACAGACGTTACCTCACATAAATCACATCCACGATGTCTAGAATGCTATTTTGAAAAGTTAAACATTTATATATATATATATATTGTGGAATAAATTTTATATACACAGTAATTTTATTTTTTACGGTACTCGTTTTACATATTTAATAAAAAGAAACAGTTATTTTAGAAAATCAACTGATCGAATATATATAAAATTTATTAGAATAAATGTATTTGATATTTAGCAATTAATAGTTTTTTGATCAATCTTTTTTCTTATCGAAAATTTTATATCTCACGTCTTCTTAATTTGTAACGATCAAAAATTTAATTGAAATTCTATTATAATTGTTCATTTAAATATTATAAAAAAACAAATATTATTATACATTTATATAATTTTTATCATTTACATTTATATAATTTTTATCGTATATTTATATAATAGTTTTTATATTCATGTGTAAGAACATGCATATTTTTATCATATTCAATAAGAATATCCCTTTCGAAAGAAATCACCTTTAAAAATATTTAAAAAAATTTCTACGTAAAGATATTTTTTTTACATTATCCATAAACTTATGTAATGTGTCATCACGATCATCGTTAATATTCTGAAGTTCCTATTGAAAACATTTTTTGTCATGTTTTTACGAGCGATCCTCGATATACAGTACTGTTGTAAAAGCGAGGATTAGAAGCTAACTAACTTGTATCTGCTTCGCCGTCGTTTTCAAGTTTTACGATTATGACTGTCTTCCATGTTACCACATGGCTCACCGGTAGTTCCGGTCGAGGAATTACTCGCTGTAGCCCGGCACCCTTCCTCTTCTTTCTTCCACCGTCTTACTTCCTCTTAAGAGAGATATCTCAACCCCCTTCTTTTAGACGCTGAAAATAGCATCTAAGATCTTCCCGTAGAAGCTTGCAATGAATATTCTATTCCATTCCTAGACTTGACATAAATTTTCTCTTGCTGGAAAAATTGATCGCAATAAGAATAAATTATTTTCATATATTCATTAGTGTTTTTATTATTTTTATTAATTTTAATTGATAATTATGGTATTATTATATAGTATTTTTATTTATTATTATTTTTATTTATAATTTATAATTATTTTTTTAATTTTATTTATAAATTATTTTAGTTTAGTTTTATAAAAATATATTTTTAATATAATGTTCGGATCATTTTTTGTTTATATTATATTTAGCACAATTAAGCGTTTTAAATTTATAAATATTTTTATTACAATATCTTTAATTATAATTTTTTTCTATGATATTTATCATTTTTATCTCTGAATTTTTATCTCTGAAATTGAATTCCAAATTAAAGGTAAAAATATCTTTATGATGTAAAAGATATGTATTATATAGTAGATAATTATGATAAATAATTATCTTTTTATTATCTATACTTATTTGTATTATTGTCATAATTTAATTAAAATGATAAATGAAAATATTGAACAACAGAAAATTTAAGTTATAATTCTTGGGATGCAAGGATAATAAAGGAACAGCAGCCATTTCTAAATACAAATAAACGTCAGTATTTTATTTCTTTATATCTTAATAGCGCTATAATTTTGTTTATCGCTCCATCAAAATCCTCACAATTGCGTAGGTTTATTAAGAAATCATCCTTTGCTCGCAATCTTTCATAATTTGGCATTCGTCACAATGTTACCTATATCTTTCGCGATACGCTGCGCGATTGACGTCCGAGTCTCGGCGACGGTATCCAGGGAACCCGACGCCCTAAACGCGGCGTGAACAGAGGATCATCCTCATCGATCTCATTCCTATCTGTCGCATCGCTGTAAATGAATTTCTCCTCCGATCCTCGTCCCAAGCGCGGTGTAAATTGCGTCGGTTGTCTCTTTTCGTTAGCTAGAATTTATTCTTGATAATTATAATTGTGAGAAAAAAAGATTTAAAAGTGATGGGATGACATAGAATTTTGATTTCTTTAGATTAATGAATTAATATAATTCGATAAAGCATTGAAAATAAATAAATTATTTTTTTTAGAAGTATTACTTTTTTGAAATTATTTCTTTGAAATTATTTATTTGTTATTAAAATAACTTAATCTTTTTAACGAAATTACACATACGTAGAATTCTAAAACTAAAAATTTAAAGTAGAAAGAAAAAGCTTAATAAAAACGAAGTATTATATACGAGAAATGTTGAATCTTAATATTAATATCATGCAATCTAAAAACTTTGTTCGTAAAATAAATTATGGCTTGAATGAATCCAACTATTATTTTTAGTTTTATCATAATAATAAGAAAATTTCTGGAATCTCAAAAAATAATATCAAAATGTTAATAACAATTACAAAGCGATAAATAAGTTTAACGAGAGTTCAATTTCGTTTCGAGAAGGAATCTCGAGATTTACCTGGAATCGTGATGACGGTCCAACGCATTCCAGGTTGGTCCAGGGCATTCACTAACATTTCGATCTCGGGATTAATCTGCTGCTTTTCGTTAGACTTGTGCCGTTTTCCCAATCGCGGACCGAACCACATGCCGCTCGATATGCCGCTTTCCTGCGTGGTGGTGGTGCGTTTGGTGCACTTTCCATCGGTGCACGAGCCGAAATCGTTGCTCGGCGATCTTCCATCGTTCGACCCACCGCTCGACATCTCCAATTCTACAAGGGCACGATCAACAGGACAATCGAGAGAGGCAATCGCGTGCAATCGATTAAATTATCGTAAGGGGGTCGCTATTACCGTATTCGCCGGAAGCGCGAAACACCAAGCAGAGTAGCAACGCTATGGCGCAGACGGGGTTGCCAGTGACGATCATCTTGGATCAATCGGCGTTCCACGAGACTACTTGCCGAGTAATGTCGGGACCGGTAGTCGGACCGGGTTTTATAGGGCTGGCGAACGATAGGGACGCCGGCTTTGTTTTTCCATTTTATTGTCTCTCGCTTCTTTTTCACACCCCCGAGACCAATCACGATCGCTCGGCGAGAAGCGATTCGTCTCCATTTGAAGCAGGACTGACTGTCCTACATACACAATGAAGTTCCTGGATACAGAACACGTAACGCGAGTCCTAGAATAACGCGCCCACGTTTATACGGGGTGATTTCTGTCCTCGTCTTCGAAGGAAAATTACTGGCGATTTTCATTAATTTCTTTCAATGAATGGAGAAAGAAACTTTGTATCCAAAATAGAAATTTCTTTCTACGAAAATAGAAAAGGGATTTTATTCTATCTCACGAATAAATTTAATTATTGCACAAATAATTGTAATTTTTCCAAATTTATATCTCTGTCCCTCTTTTGATACATGAAACGAATTTTTTAAATATTTTATTAATAAGAGAAAGAAAAGAGGGCTAGATTATTTTTTCTTATTTTATTATATATCTATTTTTATTTCGTTAAATTATATGAAATTTTTTAAATTTCCATTTCTATTATTTTAATAATATAATGAAAATAAGTTAATGAAAATAGCTTCCGATAGTTTATGTGCAATATTATATATAATTACATTATTGTGCAAATTTGAGAACTATAGAATTAATAATTTACAATAATTATCATATATACTTCTTGTATATACATTGCAAATTCTATACCTAAATCCATGTATTCTGAAAAACATATATAGTGTTCACATATGTGTGTATTATCTTCTCTGATCAAAATAATTTTGTTCGAGGGTAAAATTAAAAATTCATTATAGTTACGTAATAATCGAAATATCTCGCGCATTTATTTATTTCTGTGATTTACGATAATGAATCGATTGTAAACACCATATTTTCCTTTAACAAATCCTGTTTTTCTCGCGCGTATTTTTTATACCCCACGCTGTGTAACAAATGATTGCGGCCGCCTGGCATCCGATTGAACGAACGATTAGTCTTGGATTTAACTTGTCGATCGCCGGTTTAATTCAGGGATCAATGAGTTCACATTCTTCGCACTCTCTCCCTTGTATAAAAGCATTGGATTGACCGGGCAAAGACGGCATTACTGTACGATCGCGTTGTGCCTTCGGAAAGAAGATATGAAAATCTGCGCAAATGTGCACGGATATCTATATTTATTAGTATATTATTAACTTTAATGAATTATTATTTACACAGCTTGTGCTTGTTATAAAAAAAAAAGAACGCGCGCGAGTAAAAAAGTGAAACTCGAGAAGCTTGGTAATTATGTGCTATCTTACGTAATTACGGATTAATTCTTTAATTCTTTATAATCCAAATGTGTTTTTAATTGATTTCATTACTATATTTTTGCAATTTTTATTAATATGATTAGTATTATCATCATTACTAATTATTTGTTTTTTTTAATACTAGTCATACTATTAATCTGATAAAATGTACAAAAATTTTCTTCGAATAATTTTAATTGAATAATTTAAATAAACTATATAATAAGAATTTATCTATAATTACAAATTATTAATTAATATAATTTATTAATTTATATATTTTAGGATTATCAAAATAAAACGGGCAAAATAAAAATTTATCATTACAATTGTAATGTGAAATATCCCTCAATTTTTTAAGTTTTCATATCTTCGATATTCAAATCTTTATTTATATTATGATACTTTTATAATATTTTTCATATATTTATTATAAATATTATATTTCATAATAATCATCAAGATATGATAAAGAATATCGTGTGTACATAGTACATCGTAAGATATCGATACTTTGTAAGTTATCTAATCAAATGCAAAATAATTAAAGACTTAAAATCTTGCTACTATATGTATGTTTTTTTGGAATACATGCATACACGTACACACATACGTACAATGAGTACATCTTACTTGAGACGTGCAATTAGGGGACGACTTCACACATGGACGTCGTGGTTTTTCAGTGAGATCTAAGTGGGCGAGTCGCGCATTCGTTCTGTACGCTATGGACTACGTGCGCTCCGCTACTTTCGATACTTGTCAAAGCAAACAAACGTCCGTTTCATACTTTTTTGTCTCAATGCGTATTTGGTAGACACACGACGTAAGAGCACTTGCATCTGCCGAACTGAATACGCGCCACGAAAATCTTCCCACATGACGACATTTTTCGACTCAATTCCTTCGTTCGTATCGCAAGATTCATCCGCGTGTTCGATAATAATTTAACCCAATTGTATCAATTAATTAGCATTAGTCAGAAAATAAATACGATGATTTGATATGATATATTTGATATAGGTGATATTTTAAATATGTTTTTGATATTAAACTAAAATTTAACTGAATGGAAAACAAATCAAATTATAATAAATGAGATTGCTCGAGTTATTACTATTGAGATCTATTGGGAAATATTAATTATCAATTGTCTTTATAAAATGGGATTTTGAACAGATTGCCATGGATGATCATGAGGGATGATAAGTTGATTTGACCGAAACGTACGCAAACGTAAGATAAATCTTCATATGATGTATCGCCAGGGGTGTGTTTCGCATCTGGTAATTTAATTACTGCACATTCTGTGGTGGTTTACGGTGATCATTGTTTCGGTCTTATCTGCTCGTGCGAACCATTACTTTGAATTAACGATCCATCATTCGCATGCACAAGCGTCTGCTTAGAATTTTCTCGATTAACAAAGATTAATGCTCTTGTTAAGTTTCAGGTAAAATTTTAGGGATTTCTGTCTTAATATTTCTTAATTTTTCAATCTCTTATTTTTTAAAGATTTCTGTCTTAATATTTCTTAATTATCGTTTCGTTTTTTAATAAAAAATATTTAATATATTTGTTTCATAACATATTTCGTGATTATTTTGAATAAATTTATTTTATTTATCTCCAAATCAATTAAAATTAATCAACTTTATACTCTTATTAAATGGAAGCATCCTGTATTTATTCATTCTTCCTACGGTGACTAAAGACGCGCTTCTATTGTACTTTTTGCGAGCGAAAAAAAATCGAAAATAGGCACGCGCTATGGATAGGTGCGAAAGAGGGCGGGGAAGGTGAATCCGCATCACTTTGTAAACTCTTGCCCTGACGAAGCCCAGAACACCTCCCGCGGCCGACGGTGCACGATATAAACACTCCCGCGGTACCGCAAGAACTTGGCTATTCTCGGTAGTCGAGAGAGAAGAGATTGTTCCTTCGCACGTGAAAACGAAGCCGGCTTGAAACACCCGTTGCATTGCGATCAAAAAATTGCGCGCGATTTGTTTTTAATAAATTAAATAATTACAAAGCATTTTTGATGGGAATCCATTTTATATTCCATTTCTCTGGAGTAGACTTTTACATAATTTATATATCAATAATTTCGAAATTATAAATACATGTCGAGAGAGTTGTGGTTGGTTTTAGCCAATAAAATTGTTGGCAATTAATTTTAATTAAATAGCAAAGTTTTATGTTTACTGTTTGTTCAAGAGAGTTGTTTCAAGATTATACTTTGTCGATATTTTAATTCGAAATATGATTAAATATTATATATATTATATATATTATATATTACATAATTATATTAATATTACATATATAATTATATAATATTAATAATAATATTACATACATAAATATTTAACGATGAGCTTGCACTGTTGTATGTTGCTTTGAAGTCGGGCATGCAGTAATTTAGAAGTAACAATTGCAGACAATTCCGACCGTGAAATCGAGCGTAGGATTTACGAAGGATTGTTTTGGAGTAGAATGCATGACACGGAACGTCGACATTGGAAAACGAAGGGTTAACATTCTGGCATGCTAAGTGCGCGAAAGAGATACTTGGAATATTTACTGCGATGTATTTTCTTGTAATAGACGAGGCTCTCTCTTTCTCTTACAATCCTGTTCTCTCTTCAAATTCGTATCATTCGATTTTATCAAATTTTAATTTAGCTAATTAAAAATCTTGTACGACGTGAAACGACAATGAAACGCGATGATTTTTGTTTTATTCTTTCAGCTTAAAACGCTGTTTAAAAGAGATTCATAATTTATTCCATAATTTATTCAAAAAATTCTCGAGAAGCGATTGGATATTTTTCCCTAATCTTTATAATTAAATTAATAAAAATTATAATTAAAATAAAATTGTTTAATTTGATCCAGTGCATAAAATGCACGATCGTGATAATGTGGACCGCTGTGGACGCTGCCGATAAAATAATTAGACGTAGAAAGAGTTGTAGGCTCGAATAACAAAATATGAGGTCTCGTCAGTGTCAGAGGAGCCGGTTGAAATGTTTATGTCGAAGCAACAGCGAGGCTCAACTATTAACATTCTCAAAGTCCCACGGACGTGCACGCTCGTAATATAGTGCCACTCATTGCGATAAACAAACGGCTCGTCAATCGGCTCGATAATATCGATCCCGACTTCGCGATCACTCGCGTACAATACACAAGACCGACAATGTCGTCTTCGGTTGATCCATTGGATCGTTGTTTGGGTGCGATGGACATTGATGAACCGACATCATCGAAGACAATCGCAAATATTTAGTCTCGCGTGAATCGAAGTTCCTGGTAACAAAAGTAAAAATTATAATTATGTTAATTGAATAATTTTTTTAAAGATTGGTTGAACAAATGACCGTAAATATTCTGCCTCGCGACGAAGTTTCTAGTAGCAAGATTAAAGCTTAATTACATTAATTGATCAATCGAATCGATCGAATGATGCAATCGATCGAAGGTTGCAATTATTTAGCGGAAGTTGGAGAAAATTATTGATTACTTTTCCTCGTAAAGAAAAATTTCAATGACTAATAGATATTTGAAAATCTAATTTGTAGATTTTAAAGTCGAAAAAGAAGTCACATAACTTTAGAATAATTTTTCTAAAATAATTTTTTAATTATAAAATATCACGCAAAATAAGAACGGTAACAGATTTGAAGACTGACGAAAACGAGAAGCGAGATAGAAGTTGATTAAGTAGATTCTGAGACTATTCACCAATGTGCAGGAATTTGTTTCCTAATATATTGCCTACAAGTAGAATATCAGACACACTACTATGGGATCAAGTACTGGCGCCAGGGTATCCACGAGAAATCCGAAACCAACCGCTCTACACAATGAGTTCTCCGTCTATAATAAGTCACCAAAATAGAAGGAAAAGATAGAGAAAGAGAATTTCTCACGGTTTTCTTTTTTGAATAAAATTTTATGTACATGTAAATATATATAAACTAAGAAAAAAATATACAAGATATATAAAAATAGTTGAAGAATAACTCTAATTAAATTGAGAAGAAATATTGTATATTACAAATATTAATAATATTGCGAATAATAAAATATTTAATTTTCTCATTAAAATAATACGACACAAAGAATATAAAAATATGAATAATATTTTTCTAAAATTCATATTATCTGAAAATTTCTCTTCTTTCATATTATAATATAATTTATATTAAAAATGTAATGATAATATATGAAATATAAAAATATTGCACAGAAAGTGATTATATTTATATTATTAACATGTTATCGTTTATTTATTATATCGTTTATTTTTTTTAATTAGTAATTTCTTTAAGCATAATTATTTATCTCAATATGCAATTAAACAAAAAATTAACCATGTTTAGTTTTTTGGACATAAAAATTCGAAATATGCGAAAAATGTAAATCTTAAAATAATTTGTGAAAAAGATTAAAAAAAATAAGGCATCATGCTTCACTATAATACATTGTTTATTGCTAGCGACACTTTATACATTTTAAATGATATTTTATATACAAAACTTTACAGAGATTCTTAAATCTAATCAACGCGCATTTTTGCACCAAAATTATGAACTTATTAATTATAACTCAATCACGTTTGGAGCTTATATATAAAATAATATTCTTTGGTTCAAAATATAGACATCAATCACTACAGAAGGAACAAAATTCTATGTACATACATAATGATTATGAACGCGTTATATACAAACGATTCTATCCAATAATTATACATTTCGTTAAATCGCAATTATTTAACATTTTTTTTAATTTGAAGTTTTATAAATGCTTCGTTTATAAAACATTGTTTCATCCAGGATGTTATAAATCAATATAATCGTAAATTTTCGAGAGATGTCCAAAGATATCTGAAAGACGCATCAGTCGTTAAATCGCAACTCATATTTTTTTTTACGGTAAAAAGCGTCAAGCGCAAAAAGTAATGCTCATTTTAAACGATATTTCGCGAATATCGCAGATATGTTTTGACAGGAGTGTCTTCGACGTATTTTATTGCATCTGGCTGGTCGGTGATTCTTGCTTTAATTCGAGGGCCCACATATGTTGCGGCCAACCCGTTCGTCCTTTGCTCTTGGTCGGTTCTTCATGGCCGAGATTTGGGACAGATTGCAAACACGATTCGTTCTATAAAGAAATAAAAATATTCGATGACAAATTTATCTTTATCAAAAATTAATCTTGCCTCTACAATTACTGTAATTTATATCCCGCCTAAAATGTTTTTTCTATTTCGTTTTTAATGTTTGACCCAAGACTAAAATAGAAATAGAATTTTAATGATTGTCGGACAAATTGTTCTAAGAAGTAAAAGACACGTCGATTATCGACCATGAAAATTATAGTGACCTTTATTGAGAGAAGAAAAGTCTATGTGGGCGGTAAACGGTCGCAGAAAATTAAGAAAACCACAAAATATAGGTTTGAAGAAATCAAATTGTTTCTGAAGTTTAGAATTAGAAAAAAACGATCGTTGGAAAATCAATGGATGTCCCTTTAGAATTTCCTTTGTTTTCTTTTACACTTTTTCAAACTTCCCGAAGGCAATGATCTTTCGATGGAAATTCGAAAATCTATTATCTCAATAAAACTAGATAATTATTTCATTCTCTATTTCATTCTCTTTAATTAACATTAAATTAATATTAAAATTAAAATTAATTATATTATTGTTATATTAATTAAAGTATTGAAGACAAATTGCAATTTTTAATTGCAGCATTTTTATGATTTAATTAGAGATTTTTTTTCTTATTATGTTACATCATTAATTGTATTTTAATCAAATTGATTTAAATACTAACAAAATTATTTTTCTATTTTTACTTTTGTCAGACTTTAATAATAACCGTGTGAAAATTGGACACATTTCATTTGTAACAAATCCCGAAGCATGTTGATGGTTTTAAGGTCGAGTTCTCAGGCTGACATACGTTGGCTAATTAAAGAGGCGAATGTTTACGTTAAGACGATGCTCACAAAGGCGTTTTGAGAGATTTAGGAAAGTCCATCCACAGAGGATAGAATAATTCATCTCGAAAAACTTTCATTCCGCGACCGAAGATGGTCTCCACGCTCTTTCGAGTAGCTCTCGAAGTGTTCTTCAGAATTTTTTTAGAAAGAAAAATCTCACGAGTTCTAAAAATGAAGAAAAAGTTACAAAGACAAGAGTAAAGTAGATAGAAAAAATGTTATCTCGATGTATATATCATTTAATAGAACTATTAATACTTCTTATTAGTTACAAATTATGTGTATAAATTTGACACTTCGAAGATGATATTGCTGTCGTTTTATACAGCATCAATAGATATTACAAAACTGTAATCATTACCTGATTGGATTGAGTTTTATTCCTCCTGCCATTCGAGAGAATCTCTGCGCGGAAGGTCTGCGGTTCCTCTCCTTCGTCGCTTTCTAAGACCGCCATCAGATATCCGATGTAAGACGCTGCTAGCCTCAAGGTTTTTATTTTGGACAATTTTGTGTCAGCTGGCACATTAGGTATGCAGTCCCTTAGGTCGGAAAAGGCATTGTTTATGCTCTGTGTGCGACGACGCTCTTTTTTGTTCGCCGTGTTCCGTCTTTTCGGTCTGGGAGGTGCCACGCCGCCCTCGTGAACGCCTTGATGAAGGTGTTGCTGAAGAGTACCGACTACCCCACTAACAACTTGCTGACCGATCTGGGCGCTCGCGAAGTCGTGCTCCCGTCGATGACCGGGTTGATGATGATGATGATGATGCAGGTGATGGTGATGATGATGGGACGACGTTTCTTGTTGTCCCTGGGGGTACGGTAGAGTAGCGTAATGCTGGCTGGCAGTCGGATGCATGTATTGCTGCAGCGGCGAGTAGCTCGTCTCCTGGACGCCGATCTCCTCGATCAGAGGTGGCGTCGACGCGGTAGAGCTACCTGCGCCCGAGCTATTCCCCGAAGTGCCAGAATCTACGCCTCCCCAATACGTTGATTGACTGTCAGCGTCGGGAACTGAGCTGAGAGGTCCTGTGTAAAAATTACGTTTCGCGTTTTCATGTGTTAGATGCATTAGTAGGATTAATCTTTAGATGATTTTTTCATAAAATACGAAAATTATTCGATTATAATCAGATGATTTTTCATGGAAACTTCTCTTCCGTCAGTTTTATAATTTTCGAGGTAGAGATAGTAATTTTCTTACTAAAATTCATAATTATAATTAATAATTTTCGGAAACTTAACATAGAGGATAAGCAAGCGTGAAGATTTAAAAAAAACATGATGTTTTTTAATCTATTTAAATTTCTGTTTAATCTAAAAAATTGGTAAATATTTCTGAGTTCTTCACAAGTAGTAAAGTTCCTTTTAAATTTCAGTTTTCTTCGAGATTATTAGTAAAATTCATATTAATAAAATTTAATGCAATATATGATATAATATCGCACATAATGTAGATCGATTATTAAAAAAATAATAATTTGCATGGAATATTACGAAGATTTACCGCAAAAAGCACATTGCGCTTACATGAAAGAATTTTATATATAATGTATATATTCATAAAAACTTCTTTCAAATAATTATATTTTATTATCATTCTTTATCTCTTCATTAAAAGCTAATTCGATCTGTTATGTGCGTTTTTCATTATTAAAAATCTATAACATCGCTGTTATGCAAATTAATAAAGAAAATCATGAAAGAAACGACAATAAAACTTACGAAATTTTTCCATCCTTGATCTTACATAAAATAGATCATTTCATTAAACGCGTATAAAAATTAATCTTTTTAAATACATGTACACATTATGGTAATATAAATTCATATATTGCAGCGGATATACAATAATATTCTAAATAATATGAAAGAATAATGTTTATTTAGAAACTTGTAAATGCAAAAAATGCAGAAAAATTTGTAATGTGAAATACACAGGGGCTATAATCTAACAATAAGATCTAAAATAACGTATCAAAGTAACGTAATTAATATAACAATCTTTTATTTAATATTTATATAGTAATATAGTAATGTGCACATCATTTTATTCATATATATTATATATATAATATAAATTATATTTTTTTAATAATAATCTCTTATAATAACTCTTAACGGAGAGAGAGAGCTATATTCTGAACATAATTTGAAAACTAATAACTCTCAACAGAGAGAGCTATATTCTGAACATAATTTGAAAATTAAATACAACATTGTACAACTTATACAAAGATTTCATACAAACATTTCATACAAACATTTTAATTAGTGAAATTGCGATATATATATCAATTCGAAATCACACTTAAATTTGAATATCCATAAACTCTCGCGAATTAATGATATTCTTGAAAAAATCGTGAGAGGAAATACTTTGTTATATATTTAGATTAATTTTAAAAATAATTAATTTTGTTGATATTAAAATATATGCGCTTACCATAAGGAAGCTGAGTGACATAATTATATGGCTGATGCCATTGCGGATAATATTCTGTCTGTGCCTCGTATCCACCAAGCATGGTGCCTGCTATTATCACTGTCAGGTCTTTTCAATTCACTAATTTCACAAAATGTGTTCACTATTTTTAATTTATAAACCTATTATTATATATCTTGTATTGTTTTTCTCGACGAAAGTATCTTCAATTTTTATCAAACAAATTGGACGAAAATTATCGCCCAATTATTATTTTGATTATTATATGTGTTTTTATTCTACTTTATATTTCCCGAATACCTCTAATTTATATTTAAATATCGTTTTACGCGGAATAAAATTTACTGCCGGTCGATTATTATATTTTACGATATATTTTATCACACTAATATTTTTTTTATTCTCTCACGATTATTATATTTTACAATATTTCTCTCGCAATGTTTATGGCTTTCACTGGGACCCGAATTTTATCGATTAATATGTATTTTTTTATGTATTATCTTTAATCGTCAAAAACTTTTTTGCTATACTTCCCGATCGCGAACGTCTCTTCATCAACTTTCATCTAAATGTCGCCTCGCGAGTCTCCAGCGCAAACTGTCACCCTCGGACAATTCTGGCGCTCGCCCGATGGAGTCGCTATATTCTCGGTCGGCCTCGAAATGCGGTTTCGGACGTGCAGCCAAAATGACACTGAGAAAACGGGATTTGGTGCGGTACCGATCCTGTTTTTCGGTGCGGAATCCCCGGCTGCGTTCGCCGCTTCGTCGTCGGTGGTAGTAGACGCGAGTTACGAATGGATGTACCAGGACAAGTCTGTCGTGACCCGACCTCGTAAACGGGCGGAGCCCGGTTTGGTCTACGCCTCTGAGGGGACCCCGGGGATTCAATTAGTAAATTGAGGGAGTTCGCCGTCGACGGACAGGGCGAAGTGGGGTATGATTTAGGGTATGACGTACCTCCGCATTCTCCCTCCGACGCCGACCGCTGACTTGATTCGCGACGTATCGCCATCGCCGTTGTGCTCATCTTTTTGCCAATCGATTCGAGCGAGATGCTTCAGACGCTGTTCCACGGTATAATAATATTAGTCGCGAGATATCGGCGCGATATAACATGAGGCTGCGACGCAAATTGGATGAAATGCACACGGAATGCACGAGAAGGATTCTCCGCATCGTAAATTCGTTCGAAAGAGAAGGAAAAATTTCGTTGAATATTTTCTAATTTGATTTTAAATATATTTTTTTTTTCAGTTTAAATATTTTCGAAATTAAATATTCTCCTTTTCTCTATTTTTCTCTCTTGCATTCTTCTTTGTCGTATTGAAAATTATAATTTTTCTTCTAGATTTTAATAAACTCTATTAGTATAAACTAGGTTTTTTAGATATATTTATTATTATAAATTATTAGATAATTTAATATAATATATATTGACTCTGTCTCTTTAAAATGTTTGATCGAAATTACAAAATAAATTTTAATACTTTTAATTAAATATTCTCGAAATTAAATATTCTCGTTCTTTCTATTTTTCTCTCTTGTTTCTATTCTTCTTTGTGATGTTGAAGATTAGTTTTTTCTAGATTTTAATAAATTCTATTGGTGTAGGTTTCTTCAGATATATTTATTAGTTATATTTATTATTATAAGTTATTAGATAATTTAATATATTGACTCTCTCTCTTTAAAATGTCTGACCGAAATTAATAAAATAAATTTTAATGTTTAGAAAATAAATATTAATTATAAATGCTGAAAAATATGAGAACTAATTCAATTGTTAATTTTTAATCATAAGAAAAATTGTTTCGATTCCTCTCTTTATTTTCATTCTTACAAAAAAATTTGGAGTAGTATATTATCTCGTATTCATTTATTGCTGACGATATTTCAATTTTGACAACGTTAAACTCCATTTAATAATGACATTGGATTGTCATGTAATACGCGAAAAAAGTAATGGAACAACCTACTTTTATGCTGATATGCTCCTTTTAGACGATGACATGCAAACGAGCTTATAATATCCGCTGTTATATGTATCGACCCTTTGAGAAAAAAAAGCTTCCTCTCACATTTTCTCGGGTTAAAACAACCGGGAGCGTACGATACCAGAGTGAAAAAGACCACGGGAAATCGGTAGCGCAAGATAGTCCCGCGGGACTTTACCCCTAACAACCTGTTCGTATAAATAAGTCGGCACCTGTTTCCTTCTTGTTCTATCTCTTAATAAGGCAATTTGTGCCTAATTACGATAATTATTCAATTAAGAAACAACATCCGATCCTCGCGTACAGGGCTGAAATGATTTTTGACGAATTCTAATTCTCTTAAATCTCTTAATTAAATCAATCATTATCTGAATTAAAAATACGTAAAAAATTTTAACACAGTATAATTCTTTTTTTCAAAATTTAAAAAACACTATTTTTTTTATTCCTGAAAATTTACAGAACATATATTTTATATAATTATTTATATGCGACATACAAGATCGAAGCAATTTATGGCAAGCGAATAAAAAAAATGTGAATACATTATCCGCGATAAGGACAGGCGTCTGGCTTTATTTCCGAAAGAAACCAGATGCCAATAGTGTAATAGCCGAATAATTATTTCTTATTATCTAATCATACAAACTCGATTTGTCAAACACTTACTATTAAATAGAGAATTAAGTAGGAAAAAACAAATATTAATTAATATGTAAATTCACGCTTAAAAAGTTTCATTACGATCGCGTTAAATTTACAATTTTCTAAAAAAGAAAGAATAAAATAAAGATATGAAAAAAATGATTATATGATATATCTTCAGCACATATTTATACTAAATGAAAAACAATTTTATACTAAAGGTTTATAATTCTCATTTAGAATTTTATCTGCTTGACATAAAAATTGTGTTAATATTTAATGATGACTAAGAAATATATCGATGTACATATTCAGTAATAATATATAATAATAGCGAGAACACAAAGCAATTGTTGTCTCTCATATAACAATCGTTGATTAAAAAAAGGTTGTTACTGTATTTCGAAAAATTTCGCCCTCCTTCCAACTTTTCTCTATGATCAATAACCTTTCGAAAAAAAGAGTAGTATTTTTTTCCTTCGACTTTTCGTGGCAGATACTAGAGAAAATGATTGGTTGAGTGGCCGGCTGCCAATTCACCGACAAACGCCGCAGGAATTTCTTAACACAGTCACTAGTAGTGATACTCTGTCAAAAGGAAATGCCGCGATTAAAAGAAGCACTTATAGGATAACTAATTTTTCTCTTTGATGCCAGGCGACCGTGATTACCACGCTTTCCTCGTGAACCTCTCTTAACGAGAGATAGGCACTTTCGAAGAGCGAGGATCTACGTATTCGAATCGGCAAAGTTCTCGAGTTCGGAAGCCCAAAAAGTCCATTTTTGTTTTTTTATTTGTTTCGATTCTGTTTTCGAATAAACTCAGATCGAAATTCTAAAATCTGAACGTTAATCGACATATATGTCGATTAATATCTCATATATATAACATAAAAAATTAAAATTAAATGAAAAATGAAATTTTGATAATCATTTGCGTCTTTGAAGCTTGATTTACCTTCATTTGTTTATTGTCTATATTAAATAAACTATTAATATTAGAATCTGATTTTTAAGTTTTTCTCTAGAAGAGGGAGCAATTTTCGAAAACTCTTGAAATCCAATTATTATTAACGCAATCGGCAAAATCGAACAAAAAGATAGATAATTATCGGCGTATCCCAAACTTTCTCCCCTCTCGCGGCTTTCTTTTAACCAACAGACAGCCCTTTTCCAAGGGCTGGGCGGGTAGAAACCAACCGGGGATCCTGGTGTTGCCATTCGACGCAGAGGTGCGCAGGACACGATACGATGAAAGGAAGGAAGGAAGGGGCAAGTACCGGAATATAACTCGCGATGATAAGGGTCTCCCTTGTGGCCTGGCGATATCTATTAAGTAATAATCATGATAGTCCGGAGATGAGAAGTGCGTGGGGATCTGGCGTGTAGGAAGAATTGCCTATGCGAGACCCCTGATTTCCTGCATAGCCTCTCTCCTACCCCTGTGTTATTTTGGCATCTGCAGTAGCAGATCAAGGCATTTTGAAGAGAGCTCTAACAATGCAGTATAATAATTAATTAAATTTGTTTATTGGCATCAACAAATATTACTACATATAAGAAAATTTGCATATGTAATGTATAATGTATAATAATGTTAAAAATAATTTTTTTTATTTAATTGAGGAATATCTAAATTTAAAAAATAAATGCCTCAAGTTTGAAATTAAAATTTTATTAAACTTTATTTGAAATTAATTAAAAATTAAAGTTTTATTATTTGTATCAAAACTTGATTTTATTTATATTTTTTAATTTAAATTACTTATCTCAAAATTGTTGCATGTTTACAAATTAGCATTAGAGACTTTATTAACTCTGACTTATTTGAATAAAAATTTTGCTATTAAATTTTAAAATTATTGTTAATATATTTATTACATACTTTACTTTGCTTTTGTATGCAAAATACTTGTTAACTTGTACACTGTTGTGTACTGTGTTGTTAACTGTTAGCAAATCTTTGTTAACTTTTTTATTCCAATATCATAATTAATTATTATATGCATTAATTTCTAATCAGAAAGCTGGAGAGGAACTAAAGACATAGGTAATGATGCGTGATATAATAATAATATATTATAATAGAAACTTTGTAAAGTTACAACTTACATATAACAAGAAGCGTAAAAATATATGTTTAAAGTATGCTGTCAACGACGTTTCGACCCTGTTCTGGGACTTTTCCAAAGTCAAATAAGAAAATACATAATATTATTTTTCTTGATTCCTAGCCTTCTTTTACTTCTTATTGGATCATTTGAATCATTTTTACATATTAAAATTTTTACTTATTTGGTATTAATTTCTGTTATAATTACGTAATTGATTTTGACACTCTTTTGTATGCGAGGCTTCAGGCGCAAAACCAAGAGTGATCCACCCTTGGGTATCTCTCGACTCAACAGGGATGACGTAAAGGCAGCTGACGACGGGGTGCAAGAATACAGCGACCGTCGTCGGTCGCTTTTGCGGTGGTGGGACGCAATCCAGAACACCTTCTAATCGCCTCTAATCACTTCTACTCCGCGCTGTGGGAAACCGCAGAACACCCGGTATAACTCGTGAGTGCACTCAAGCCCTTTTTGGCCGACACTCGACATCTCATTTTGGAAGATGCGACCAGATCGAATACCGCTCGGATCCTTTCAATGATCCTTGGAAAAATACTTTTAATACTTTATCTTTGAGAC